CCCCCCCCCCCGGCTCCAGATCCAAGGGCAAGCTCTGGCGGACGTCCTCCGCCTTCCGCGAAGCCTCCCCGGCTCCCCATTGGTCAGCCTGGACCTCAACGGCGTCGATCCTGGGAAGGACGCCCCGACCCGTCACGCCGCCGTCCTTGAGAAGGCATACCCCTTCGTGGACATCCTCCACGCCAACCTCGAAGAGGCCGAGGCAATCGTGGGATCCTTGGAAACCGGCGACGGCGATGCTCGCCTCCGGGCGCTAGCGGAGTGGTTCCTGAGCAAGGGGGTCGCCGTCGTGGCGATCACGGCGGGGGCTAAGGGCTCCTTCACCGCGGTGACGAGCGACGCCGAGAGGCTGGCCGCTTCCCCGGGCCTGGCGAGGCAGGTCTCGGCGTGGGCGGGCCGGGAAGTCAGGGCGGCCGCTTTCGCGGTTGGGGAGGATGCCGCCGTTAACGCTAACGGTGCCGGGGATGCCTTCGTCGGGGGCCTGGTGCTAGCCGCCGCGGCGTGGAGGGAGAGCCTGAGCCTGGAGGAGGCGGTGAGGTTCGCGGCGCTGGCGGCCCTCCAGCGCGTGGACGAGAGCCTGCGGCAGGCCGAGGACGCGAGAAACGCAGCGGAACTGATGACGGTTGCCAGGGCCGGGTCGTTGCCGCCCACGCTCCCGCTGAGTTGACGTATGTTTCTTTTTTTCTGTGTGTGACCCGGGTTTGTTTGTTCAGCGGTAGAACTTGCGTTTTTGTATGTTTTGTGTGCAAAAAGAAGGGTAGCCTTTTCGTCGGCTGAGTTAGATGAGCCCAGCTGGCAGAGTTGATGGCAAGATCCATGCGTTCTTTGCACGGCCGCGATTCTGTTGCTTTTGATAGGTCAGCTAACACGCTGAGCGATGTACTGCCGACGTGGGTGTGCGATACGCCGCCTATCGCACGAGTTCGAAGTACATGTAGTAGAGGTTAGGCTGTTGAGAGATTAGGGCGGCCAGGAAGCCTCAAGCTGTCCTAGTTCACGTCCCGAGTCGACGCAGCTTGCAGAGTCGCAAACGCGAGGTATGTAAGGGAAGCTATTGGTGCAGCTTTTCGAACGAGATCGTGACTGCGTGTCCCAGGAGATTGGTTGTTGGTCATGGCTTGTCCACTTCTTAATAAATTAACCATTATATGTACATGTAGACAGGCAATACCCACCTCCTCACCTTTATCTATGCCGCTATCAACCTGGTAACCGACCTTCACCTGCACCGATGCATCCCCAAAACATACGTACAGACCCCGTCACAGAGCTGGGCAATGCAGCGCAAAACGGCACAGGGCAATATACTCCGTCTACCGCATCCGACTTAAAGACAGACTTAGGCAAGGGCCGGAGCTGAAGGCTCACCAACCCATGGCCTACATAACATGGCCACAAGGCAAGACAATCACAACACAAGCGCCTTCACAGCAGTGCACATCTACAAACACAACAACCTTGGACACATGGACCTTGGTATTCGCGGGTGGTTTTCGCAGATGGACAATTGACTTCCCGCCCCCCCCCCCCCC